CTTTCCCTCCTACTTTCTGCTATTCTCTCCTCCTCTCCCTTCCCTCTTTCCCACCTCTCACTTTCCTCCCTCTGTCCCTTCCCCCCTCCCTGTCTGTTTCTCTTTCCACCTAATCCCTGTCTGCTTGTCCCTCTTCATCTCTTTACTCTTTTTATCCCCCTTCTCTCGATATTTTTTTCTTCCTTCAGGAGCCTTTCCCTATCTTTGTCTTTATCTTGTATGTTCCCAATGTTCTTCCCAAACCACCATCTTGTCAAGTCTCTCTGTCTATGTAGTTGGAGGTCCTGAACAGCTTTACTTCATTTATTTATTTGTTTATTTATTTATTTAGTGGGATGAGAGATGATAGGGAGATGAGAATTATATATGCCATATTATGTGTGTCATGTTTCCATATTGTAAATAGCTATTATTTCATCTAACCTCTTTCCAAATATGGGGGAATGATTTCTTAAGTGAAGGACAACAGTTCAACCCGACAATTTCAGCTGTAATCTGTAATGCTTTTGTGACAAAATGAGATATCTTGAGGAGAAAAATATTCATGGAGCGGAGAGAACAGAGTTATTGTAAGGGATTTCTAGAAGACCTGTTTTTTTGAGATTTTGTAAAAAAATATCCTGGATAAATTGCCTGGTTAGTATAATGGGAAATGACCTCAATCGTGTATGTTAGGTGCAATGACTGCTGAAGTCATTGACAACAGAAAAATTGCTCGTTGATTTAAAAAAGATGCCATGTGTGATCTCAGATTTTACACAAGATACCTGTTCCTGAAACTCTTAAATGAGAGGTGATAGTCAAGCATTAGTCAATAAGAAGTATGTGTTTCCAAGTAAAAATTCATGTCTGTCAAAAATGATAGCTTCTTGTAAGACAAAAATGACTAAATTAATAGATGATTGGAGTACTGCTAATGTAATGTACAACAAAATTTGCTGACAGTCACTCCGGACACACTGAAACAGCACAGTGAAAATCCCAAACTGTGGCAATCGAGTATAATAAGCAAACTATCATTTAAATTACAGTCAATCATTATTTACACTGAAACTGCATCATGATGCAAATTATTTTATACTTCAGGGAGATAACAAATACCTGAATTTAATACAACTTTTGATATGAAAATTTGTCACTGAAGAAGAATCACATTTCTTGAATATAGATGTTAACAACTGGATTGAAATCTTGCTCAGGAACCTACACACAGGAGGAATATAAATGACACAAAATGAGTTGTAATTCATTGACCAGCATATCAATGTAAGATCTTGTTTTATTTAGTCTGTTTATTAATGACCTGAGAAAAAACATCAAGTGGCATAAACAGAGGGTTTTGTAAAAGTTAAAGAAAAAAAGAGAGATGACAGATGTATGGAAGCCAGAACTATTGGTATTGACATGATATTTGGCAAAGAAGGGAAGCATATTAATGTTTCTGAAGAAAGCAAAATAAATGAAGCAGTTTGCCAATGGGAAATACATAAATAGGAACAAATAACATTACTCACAATGGAGTATAAAGAATTATTTTCTTGATGTAATCACCACTATTACTAACTACTCTATGAAATATAGTAAGGAAAAGATGATAAACTGTAGATGCATTTGTCAGTTCTTCGGGGCTTGACTATGGCTCTGATTTTGGCTACATAGTTAAGACAGTTGGTACCACTGCAGAAGGGCAATGATCCTCCCTGATACATTGCTTGTGGCACTTCACTGTGAGTAGCATGTACAGTTTTGATTGACTCAGAGCCAAAAAAATTTACTTTTCTTTGAGAGTTTTGAAGAAAATTCAAAAAGAAGAAATACTTGAAAGCGTACTTGCTTATTCATAAATTGCTTTTTCTCAAACATGCTGAAGTAAGAAAGCTACTTTAAACTATTAAATTTTTGTTGATAACATCTCATGAGACTGATGCTCAGTAAACAAGTATATGTAATAAATTCAACAAATTTTATGTTTCAGAAATGTACAGTGCTTCTTTTTTGGCGTGGTGGTGAATTATTGTACTGGTTTTGGCTGAGATGGAGTTAATTTTCTTCCCAGTAGCTGGTGTGGGGCTATGTTTTGGATCTGTGCTGACATCAGTGCTGATAACCCAGGGATGTTTTGGTTATCACTGAGCAGGGCTTACCCAGAGCCAAGGCCTTTTCTGCCTCTCACCACACCCCACCAGCAAGGAGGCCGGGGGGGCAAAAGGAGTTGGGAGGGGACACAGCTGGGACAGTTGACCCCAACTGACCAGAGGAAGAGTCCCTGCCATATGACATTGTGTTCAGCAATAAAACTGTGGGGTGGAGGTTGGCAGGGGCTGCAGTTGTTCAGGGACTGGCTGGGCATCAGTCAGTTTGTGGTGAACAATTTTTTTCTTTTGCAACACTTGTTTTTCTTGGGTTTTATTTTCTTCTCTCTTTGTTGGTTTTTTTTCCCATTTTTTTTTTTTAAATTATTAAACTATCTTTGTCTCAGCCCATCAGTTTTCTCACTTTTACCCTTTCAATTCTCTCCCCCATCCCACTGGAAAGGAGGGAGGGAGTGGTTGAGTGGTTGTATGCTGCTTAATTGCTGGCCAAGGTTAGACTATGACAACTACATTGGTTTGGTCTTGGTAAGGGTAGTAAGTTTGAAGAAAGTCTAGGTGTTACTAAGAAGAGATTTTTTTTTTTCTTTTAAATAAATAACTTACTGAATTGTGATTCAGTCTGGAGAAAAGGAGGCTGAGGGGAGACCTTATCGCCCTCTACAACTACCTGAAAGGAGGTTGTAGCGAGGTGGGGGTTGGTCTCTTCTCCCTGGTACCTAGCGATAGGACAAGAGGAAACGGTCTCAAGTTGCGCCAGGGGAGGTTCAGGCTGGACATTAGAAAGAACTTCTTCACTGTTAGAGTCGTTAAGCATTGGAATGGGCTCCCTAGGGAGGTGGTGGAGTCACCATCCCTGGAGGTGTTCAAAAAACATTTAGATGTGGCACTTCAAGACATGGTTTAGTGGGTTTAGCGGGCATGGTAGCATCGGGTAGACGGTTGGACTTGATCTTTGAGGTCTCTTCCAACCATAATGATTCTATGATTCTATGATTGGCATGACTAGAAGCAGATCTTTATTATATGGCAAATTGCATTTTTATTTTGAAGAGGAAACATGCACTTTAGACATGCTATAGGAGGTAAACTGGGATCATGCTGTAGTTTTGAAAATAAATGGGATAAGAGGTGGGTACCACTTCTTATAATACTGTTACATTTACGTAGCTATGTCTAAATATTCACCTGTGAATTTTTACTTGTGTGCAAGCTTAATTTATACTATAATTATAAAAATTGCCAAGTCTGAATATGCCTTTCAAGTTATATTTATACTTAACTTTATAGATCAACTCAGAAATAGATTGTTAATTATCAATAACCTTGAAAAAAGGAGAATTTTTATAAGATTAGGGGAGGCTTATGTCCTCGTTCTGATACCAAATGTATTGCTAAATGTCACAAAAATCCAACCAATATTTCCAGAAGAGACTAGTAACTTTGAATTAAAGTCCAATATAACTTTCTTCTTCTCAAGTTCCTATTAGATTGTTGAGCAGACTAGATAAATTTTATAAAAAAATTACTGTAATCAGCACTCTGTCCTAGATAAAGGTCCAAGAATGTATCATAATTATCTCTAATTATTCTACTATATGAACTTATTAAAGGTTTAAAAAATAATTTTATTGTACATAATAACTGTGTGTAGTTTTCAGTGTTCAGAATTTGAGTTGTTATTCATTCTGATTTAACAGTTCTGATATTTTTACTTAGTTTTATTATTGAGTAAATACTTTTTTCTAGTGTTATTGCTTCACGAATCATGCCAATTGCATTTTACTACAAAACTAAATTAATATTTTTGGAAATAAGCACAATTGTACTGATCTTATTTTGAAGACTGAATGCACAAAATAGATGAACCCAAAAGAATCAAATTAATTTAAAATTTGTGTGAACATTAGCCAAACTTCTTTTTAGTATTTGCTGAATTCTGTCCTTTGATAATGACACTGATTATTTTTAAACATTTCTGGTGAGATTTAGTTTTGAAACTGGACTATTGTACTACTGAGTAGTAAATATTGTGAAGATTATTTAAAAGTTTTGTTTAAGGGGTATAAGATTGGTTGACCATTTGGAAACCTCAGAGTGTACGTGCCTAAAGGTGGATGGCAAACATTTTCTGTGGTGCATGAGAAAAGAATCTCTAGATTCATCTAGTCCAGTACCCTGTATCTGAAAGAGACCAGTTACAGAAGTCTAGGGAAGAATATAAGAAAATGGCAAGCATATTGCAATACTCCACCAGAACACTCCCAGAAACTCCACTTATTGAAGTCTAAATAGGTGATGTCTTCACAGGCACAGGTAGTTTTCTAATCAATACAGAATTCTGAGAAAACGATGAGTCTACAATCAGAGTTTAAGCACATACTTCCTAGTTTTTCCTTGCTTTCTACCTTTCAGTAATGACTGTCTTAGTGGTCATAATCTCCAATGAAAGGAAAAAAAATTAATTAGCTGTTAATTTCCTATTAGTAAGATGTCTGATAGTATCACAATCATGTATTTCTCTTTTGGCTTACAAGTTTAGGACTTGTTTCATACAGCTATATAAAGGAGTTATATTGCCTTGCCACCATTCTTTTAGATCAGATGATGCAACTTAATTAAGAGATCGCGAGTTACTTTGAGGTTTTTTTTCTGGAAACTGTTTTATTAAACAAACAAACAAACAAAAACCCCAACTATAACCCAGAGAATTGCGGTTTATCAAAACAACAATAAAAGAATGGAAACTTTTGTCCAAACTTTCTGCAGGAATGATAACCTGATAGTTACCCAATAGTTAAATATATGGAAGCTTGGATGCAAGTTTTTAATCACTCAAGTGTAGTTGGGAAACTGTATTCTGTGTCCTTGAGGAGCACCTCAATGCCATGTTACAGAATGTTCTATAATATTCAGTGATGAGTCTTTTAGTAGCTCTTGTTGGAATTGTTTCAGCTTGAATAAGCTGATTCTTGACTAAGCTAATTCTTTGGATCACAAAGATTCTTTGTCTCACTGTGGAGCACAATATCAGATTCATGGGAACTCCTGGTTTGAGTCCTGTGCTATGGATAATAAGTGTTAATGTGTTCAAATTGACATACTCACTCCAGAATAGCCTAGCCATTTAGGGGATTTGAATAGAAGAATAGGGGATCGAGGGCCTGCCAGCCTCCCTGTGTGACTGTATTTACTTTGTGAACATTCTCTCTAAGGTGTATATTAGAATATCAATTTGTTTCATTTTTTAGGAAAACTTGAAAGTTTGTTGGAAATAAATGTAATGCAGTAGAAGTAAATTTTAAGTTGTTTGAATTGCAGTTATATGTAGTAGACTACCTTGTTTTGCTTTTCCTACATTTTTGACATTTGAACTTTTCTAGCGAAAACATATTAACTATTCTATTCTATTCAGAAGGCTACTTTAAAATTAAAACACTGTGCTTAAGCAAATAGAAAAGAATGAATTTACTGCATTGTTTATGCACAATTTTCTCTAAAAGAAGTAGCTTTGAGATGTTTGTGTGATTTGGGAGATATATATATCAGTAGTATATCAGAATCTGTGGTGTAAGGTGTTGAGTTTGAGCTCGTTAATAAAGATAATGCAAAGATTGTCTTATTTGGAACATCCAACTTTTATTCTGTTTCTTAGATTTTCGATTCATAAAAGTAGCAATACAAGTAAAATTTACCTCATTTAGAAAAATGATGTGATAATTTTTCAAGACAGAAGTTTCTTTTTAGAGTAATGCTGTTGATAGTTCTTATAAGCTTATATGGAAGTAGATAAATCCCAAATTCTAATGGTTTATAATTATTCATTTGCCTGTGGCTATGGCTATGTCAAAAAGTAGAGGAGGAAGTATTTTAATTAGCAATGTCTTAGCTTTTGCCAAGGTAAATTTGAATTATGAACTTGAACTTGAATAAAATGTATGATTTAATGAATTTAGGATCTGAAATTCATCAAATAATGTGACGGTGTTCTCTTGGAAATTTTTGTGCTACTTGTTTACCTGAAGTTGAATCTCATAGAGGAGATTAGTCCAGCTTCACTTAGGTGAAGAAACAGCAGGGACGTGCTCAAGTTCTGGTCTTTGTCATTCCTTGTTATTCTGTTCTAGTTTGGTCTTTCCTTAAAGTAAAGCAAACACTGTGATTACCATAATTAACAGAACATTGCAACTAAAATCTCTCGATCCTATTACAATTTCTTCATTGTGGTGAAACTGCAAGGCTGAACATTTTGGGTTTCCTAAAAAACTTTCAAGTCACCAAAGGAAAGAGTATTAAAAGACTAAATGAAGAAAAGTTTTTTGGTAGTAATGTTTGGTTTCAATACTTTGAAATGATGTGTTAGATATTATTTTCCAATTGTATTTCTGAGAGACACATGTTCTGCTTTCTTCCCTTCATGATTCTTTCACCAGTTTACAAGATACTGAATGGCCAAAATTTAACAATCGCAGCCATTCAAAGGAGTGACTTCTTGGAACTGAGTGTTATGCAAAGAACAACTCTTCACCGTTAGAGTTGTTAGGCATTAGAACAGGCTCCCCAGGGAGGTGGTGGAGTCATCGTCCCTGGAGGTATTCAAAAAACGTTTAGATGTGGTACTTCAAGACATGGTTTAGTGGACATGGTGGCATCAGGTATACGGTTGGGCTTGATGATCTTTGAGGTCTCTTCCAACCATAATGATTCTATGATTCTATGATATTGATTTCTATGGAATTGTAGAAAAAGAGAGCAAATTTTTCTTTTCTCTTTTACAGCTTCTGCTGATTCACGCTCTACTGTGTTCTCAGTTTTAGAAACGAGGCTCTTTTTGTTTAACCCATACAGCGTTGCATCCTGATCTTACTTGGCAGCCATACTGCAACAAATCACTTAAAAGTATACAGTTTCTCAAGAATCAGTTCTAAGGATTACAAACAAAAGAGTTTGTGTGTTTATATACACATACAAACATACATACATATATATATATTCACAATCAAACCTCACAGAGTTTTTGATTTCTGTCTAGATTTAGTTTTAAAGTATCTTTACCTTATATTATACATATTGCTTATTATTTGAAATTATATTTAAAATCCTGTCTACAAACAAAAAATGAAATTTTGTGTTTGTTTTTAGGCAATGGAGTAATACAAACATTTTGATGTCTAAAAATGGATAGTTGTATTTACTGCTTGCCCATTTTAGTGGTATAGCAATGAATTTGCAGATAAATGATGTAATCATAAGCCCCATTACTTATTACTTAGTATGTGAGGCTGTCCTTGACCTGAACCTTAAAGCATAACCCTGGACCTCCTTACTTAGATAAAAATCCTATTGACTTTACTTGAATAAGAATTTTGAGGTATAAAATGTCAAGTGAGCTAGACACTGAACATTTATCTGCAAATCAACTAAATTATTACACTTAAACTATCATCAGTCTTCTCCATTACATGTTCCCCAAAACATCTTTCTGCTCTGATGTTCTCATGATTACGGAAAAGGATAAATCCTTCTGTAGTGACAATGCTCCCTGCTCTTCAAATGAATTTCCACCTGACTGTTAAAGTTATCTTCAGATGTGGTTCATCTTGAAAAATGAAAGTTAAATGGAAAATTAAGTATTCAGGGTAGCTTTAGACATTCTGTGTGTCATTTTTCCACTAAATGTCACACTTCACGAAACACACTTTGAGGTACTGTGAATCATATTTTAAACAAGCAGACGTTAAATGTAATGACAGGGAATAATGGAACAGGGTTTAATAATAAATATTATCAATGTTTTTATTTTCTGTAGCAATCTATTTTTCCTTATAGTGTTCTTTTCTAGGTGCTGAAATGTAACTAATGGTCAATTTACACAGTAATTTACTGTTTTTATAGGTTGGAACTTGGGATCCACTGAGTGGCCTTAACATGACAGACAATCAGAAAGGAAAACCAGCAAACATCACAGATTCCCTGTCCAATCGCTCTTTAATTGTTACCACCATCTTGGTAAGCGATTATATTTACTTTTCCAGAAATGCCATTGTGCAGGAAAGCTAATAGAATATGCTGTACTAATTACAACAGTAATGAACAGTCTGTGGTATATGTTACAGTTACTTAGAAATTACTGTGTTACACCTGAACTCCAGTTGTTAAGCTAGTCATGGATATTTACTCTCATCTAAATTGTAAGTCAATTATTCCCATTTTAGAATTTATTTTCATCATCATTATTATTTGATTATTAAGTTGAAATTTTTAATTATATAGAAATCTAATTGAGTTATTTGAGCTAGGTCAGAAGAAACATTTTAAGTAATTTCTTTTTTATTTCCATTGATGACAAATTCACAGTGGTGAATGAGGGGTTTTTTTTATTTATTATTACATATACTTAGTTATGTAATAGTAAATGTTCACTAATTTCCACACTATGCTTTTGAAATAGCAATTTTAATTTCAACACAAATGAAAACTTTCCAGAAGTTTCTGCTGTTTTTGTCTGCTGCCACCATTATAGTGAATTTGCAGATATCAAAATAGAATTCACTTCCCAACAGTCATTCTTTAATAAGAAGCTTTTACCTACGAACATATATTTTGACATTTCAAACTAGAATGAATTTTCGTAGGTACATAGATACAAATGCCAATGTGCTTCTAACCTTTTATGTAACGTAAACCCTATAATTTCATCCAGTGAGTAAATTTGGTTACTTATAAGTCTGGTTTTATTTGAAGATTTACAAATTATAGAAAATCTTCTCAAATCCTTTCTTTCATTTATTCCACTAATTGAAAAATACATACCTGATATATAATTGGAACATGGCTGACTCGTTTTCAGATGTAAGTTCTTGTTACGCTAAGACCAGCACAGTTTTACCACAACTTTCTCTTGTACTGTTAATTACAGTTTATAAACATTTAATCTCTTGGGTTTCTTTTTTATAAAACGTAAATGAACCTCTTGTAGTCTCTTAAAGTAAAAGCACATTTTCTAGAGTATTAGTCTGTATTTTTTCTTCCCACTGCCCTTCTCAAGTTTTCAAGTTTTGCGTATATAACAACGACTGTATTAAGTAACATTTCTTAGCAATTCATTTGACCCCCCCAATATCCTGTTACGTTGCATCCAGATATCCTGCCTAGGAATTTTCTTGAAGCATTCTGCTGATTTATAACTGTTTCACATTTTTCCTAATTACTTTCTAGAATTACTGCTTTCCAGAATATAATCCTGTCTCTATGAGTGACCTGTTCCCTTCACTACTCAGTGCTCAACCAGCCTTTGTATCATCTGCACACTTCATTAGTAATCATTGTATACTTGATTCCGCATCAGTGATAACAGTGCTAGTACAAGGATCAATCCCTGCAAGATTACATAAGAAACATTCAATAACTTAGGGTGTTTCAAGTGTATTTATATTTTAACATCTATCTATTGGTGAGGCTTGAGTTCATATAGTGTATGTATCATATTGATTTTGTATAGTGATACTTACACTTGCATGATTTTGTTTGAAATGATCTCAAGAAAAGGTGAGTTGCACTAATGCAAATAGCAGTGCTGTCAGTGAGCACCGATTTTGGACTTGTAAAGCTCACAAACGTAGATTCCTGAGATTTAGGAAAGCAGCTGCTTTCTGTAATCAAGGACACCCTTTCTCTCCAGGGATAACTTTTGGTTAGTGGTATTTAATAAGCATCTGTCCTCTTTGCACATATCTAAATAAAATAATAAATAAATGTGAGGAGTTTAGATTGGTGTTACAAGTTGCTCACTTGTAACTCCCTTTTATACTTCAGTTAGAGTTCAGTGAAAGTTTTGGTAATGGCAATAACTCTTTTCAGCTATGAAGACGTTATAACAGTGATACTCAGAATAACGAAATTAACCAAAAATTGTTCTGGTGCAGAAAGCACATGTACTAGCTTACTTTTGTAGCTCTTATCTTTTTGTGCTTAAATATATTTCTGTTGGACAGCAAGCATATGCCACCGTTTAAGGCTGGGCCAGCAGTTAAAGCAGACGGCAGATGCTCTGTATTAATCCCTCCCTCCCCCTGGGAGAGGAAGGAAAGGGGAAGAGGGAGAGAGACTTACGGGTTGGAAATTAAAACTACTTTAATAAAACAATAACAATGACAGAGAGTGTAATAATAATAATATTAATACTACTAACAGAAATACAAAGAAAAGTATACAAAACCAATATTGAACTTCCCGATGACAGTCAGGGAATTTCGGGCTGAGGCAGCTCACACCGCTGCCGCAGCAGGGCGGGCACCCGGATGTCCCAAAAAAAAACTGCGCAGCCGACAGGAACCGGATTCAGGAATGCACGGATCGGGGTCGGAGGCAGGAGAGCAAGCAGGGTCCCACAGGGATGTCGGCCATGAAAGAAGAGAGTGAGACCTCCATGATCCCTTAGCTTTATACTGAGGATGACGTGGATGGGATGGAATACCTCGTTGGTCAGTTTTTGGTCACCTGTCCCATCTGCACTCTTCTGCAGGTGCGACCCTTTTACGGCTTTTTACTCGCTTAGCAAAGGGGGGCCAGCAGTGGCCTTGGTTCCCATAGGGAGAAGTATAAACATGGGCCTCTCTGCATACCAATCCTACTGATACTTCAGTAGCAACTATAAACATCGAGTGTTACCAAGTCTGAAAGCAGACACTGTTCGAAAAACATGTAGCCGTACTTTCAGAAAGTGCAGTTACTTAGAAGAAACTTAACTGAAGGGAAAAACTCCTGAAAGGAGAAATAATCCTGTTTTAGCCAAACCAGGACAGCATATTATTGAATATCTATTTTGTAGCAATGCAAGGGAACAGTAGAAAATATTGCAGCACCTAGAAGCATATTTTCTTCTTCATCACCTTCCTTTTCTATCCTCTTTTCAGTGTGGAAAATACTGCTTTAAATAAAGGCAATTCTCTCATTTAAGCTGTTCACATCACTTTTCTATGCTGTTTTTTCACTTTAAAAATTCTCAATGTACTATACTGCCAATGGTGGAGTCTTGATCAGTTTTCTCTGTAGTTTGCTTTAACACACATTTTTCTTTTAAAGATCCCAGTCTTTTATTTTTAATTCTGTCTTCCAAAATTCTGAATATCTTTTTCCTCCTTTATATTGTAATCATTAAGATCTTTGCAACTGTGAGTATACCCTGGTTTTTCAGTGGTGACTGAGTCTACTGAAGATGAAAATATATTGATAGGCAAAATAACAATAAATAAACTGCAATTCGTAAATTCCTCTACTGTAACTAAGGATGGAACTATGTGGTTCTGTGTTTTGAATTCTGCATAATACATGCTATAGATAACCATCTAAAAGATTATTCCCTGGTTTATAAGCATTTCAGTAGCTCTATTCTGAAAAGGGGTTAGGGTCGCATGACTTCATCACTCCTCAGAAGTCTACTGGTGTGTAGTTTTTGTTCAAAACTATGTCTGGTTGCCTAGGTCTGGGCCCATAGCAGCCCAAAGTAACAGCTGAACATGTACGATGGAGCGATAGTCAGCGTTTTGGGAGGGGGGGCAGGGAACATTTTAAAAAGAATAATAATAAAAAAAATTGTTGTTTTTATATTTTATAACCATAGCTTTGGATAGTTCAATCTTTTTGACACTATTGCTTTTTTTTTTTTTTATTTTAACGTCATCTGCATTGAAAATTCAGAATTTCTTCTACAATTAAAATTTTACATTCTGGATATTCTACATAAAAAAAACCAACAAAAAACCTTCCCAGTTCATTAATAAGGATTTCTTATAATTTGATTCTCCTAAATTGATTTTTGTTATGCAAGCTATCAGAACTCTGAATTTTTTTTTCTTTAGATCTTAGATATAAGTACATAAACATTTTTGTTCTTGTACAAAACTTTAGAAGCTTTTCAACTTTAGAATTCAATTTTTGTATTTATAAATGTATGTGCATGGTGTTTGTTTCTTTATGCTAAATTGCATACCAGCCTGTACATCTTATCATACAGGTTCATTTGTCCTGTTCTGCTACAATGAATGCTCTTTTCCTTTCCCTTATAGCTTTTATGTGTTTTTCTGTATCTGCTTACATCAAAGCTCTGAAAAGCTCACAATTGTCAAGTTTAATTTTTTCAAGAAATGTGTGAAAGTCATGAAAGGTGTATGATAATCTCAAATTTAGCAGGTTTTTGTTACTTCATCTTTGAAATGTGAAATTACTTTTTTTTTTACTATACTTCCCTGAAAAAATTGCTTTGAATATTTTGGGAGGAATAATTATAATGAATTTTCAAAACAATTTTATTTAACTCAAAATGTAATATCTCCACATTGTATTTTATTTATAAATGTTGCTTTTTCAAATGGGTAGAAATCTGATGCCATATAAATGCCATCATGTTTTCAAAATAAAGGTATAAAATCAAGTAAAGGCCAAGGTTTTAGCATCCTTGATTTTTGTTTTTTCCCCTTAGGTATGCCATTTTTCATTTCACATACTTTCTCTCCCTTTCTCTTGGACCCAAAGGGTGTTTAAAGCATGAGTTTTTAATGGCTAAATTTTAAATTAATATATATAAAAAGAATAAATTTACCTTTTATCTTTATAAAGATGGGTCACTCTTGTACATAGAATTGCAACTTTGTAATATTTTTCATTTTCATTTTTATGGCATATTTTGAGGAAAGATACTTGATGCAGGCATTTTCTCATAATTACTGTTGTATCGTTCTGGGATAATTCAAGTAGTGCCTGAATTTTGAAATATTAGTAACTCAGTAATATTCGGTTCTTGCTGATGTTATAGCTCTAAATAATTATTTCTCTCTCATAAATCTATTTGAATTTTGTGTACTGACACGAAATCGTTGAATCTGTTTTGTCTAGCAGAAAAAACTGTGAACGTGATGTTTTTCTATTTTTAATTTACTCACATTTGATATTTTCTTTGGAAAAAAAGGAATATACAATTCTTTACTTTCCAGTTTTAGTACTTTTCTTTC